ATCATCATCATCATCATCTTCATCATCTTCATTATCATCATCATCATCATTAATTATTATCATCATCGTCATCATGATCATCCTCCTCATCATCATTAATCATCATCTTCATCATCATCATTATTAATCATTATCATTATCATCATCAATATCATTATCATCATCTTCTTCTTCATTATCATCATCATCATCATCATGAGATAAAGGAGATAAATAAATGATATTTAAAAAGTGTTTTCCACCCAGACAAATCGTAAATATAAATAATTTATTGGCAATAGTCGTGTTTTCATTCCTACAGCATTTTCTAATCATTTTAAGCATTGCGTTTGTGTTGCTGAGTGGGAAAAAAAGTTAGAAACCTTTTGAATATCGAAAAGCCCAATGTGATCTTATCGAACATGGAATGGCGTCAGCATATTATCCAAACTCAAGTGGAATCACAAGCGCAGCGAGATCAGCTTATTTGTGTGCTCTCTTATCGATCAGCGCACGAGAAATTAACAATTTGTGGTAAAAATGTTTTAAAATATGTGATTTTTTTATGTGAATCAAGGATTGGCTTCTAAAAGCAAAAGCATTGCGAACCCGAGGTTAAAGGTGTGTTTGTTGTTTGCGCCAACAAAACTAGGAGTAGAGGGTGGGTGTGACTTATATAAATGCTACGCTGGAATCTCTATCGAATCTAAACTTCAAGGTAAGTGTTATTAGATTACTTTTGTGTGGTAGGCGTCGCCTTCTTTCTGGGCACGTGTTCTTTCAATCCCGCTATGGTGGCTCTAGGGGTAGATGAATTGGGTAACTAGTCACCCCCCTTTAGAGTTGAAATAATAATAAAGATAAGGTAAGACCTTAAAAGGACGCCAGTGGATGGCTTTCTTGGTAACGGTCACCCTCTTGAATTCGTAAGTCTCAGTATATTTGTATATTTCTCTCATTTTTACAACAAAATAGCTTACAAAATAGCTTTCAAAAAACTAGTTTTGTTCTTACGAACCTCTTTAGTTTGACTATACGTTACTGAATAAATGATGCATTAAATTCATTGATCAATTAGCGTTTATTTCAATATCCTTTTATTTTTACCTGTTATAAATTAGAATCCAAAACAAGTTTGGGACTAACTAGAAAATTTTCCAATTCATAACCCGTAGGCTCTAATATCAAAAATGTTTCTTAAAACTATGAATTCTATTTTGTATTAATAGCAAACATCATCGTTGTTGGAAACTAAGAGCAATAGCATTTCTGGAAACTAAGACTATATGTTGGCCGTGCAGTGGGGGACCAGCTGCGTCTTGAACTCGACCTATGAAGCTAAAGTATAGATAATAATATATTAGTTTCGGTATGTCGACCAGTCTGGTAAGATAGAGAGTCTCTAGAGAGTTAACTCACAACAGAGATGGCAGCCATATTGGTGTACCTAACAAAAGAAACTAATGACAAAGTTATTGTCAAAGGTACACTAATATGGCGGCTGTGACGTCA